GTTTTTTCGTCTTGTATATGTAGTCAAATAAGAAAAATGCGTTCGAATGTAAAAGAAGAGAGTTGTCATGTTTAAAAAAGTTGTTTTGTTTTCAAAAAAGTGTGCATCCTCCTCAGTTCAGAAAAAGTACTAAAACTGTTAAAATCAAATTAGTTATTTTAATAGAATAAAGTTTTCGTTTTCGAAAAGAAACATCTTGTGCCTTTATCTCTAGATCATTTGCATATCACTTCTACTACGTACATAGGATTTTTCAAAAACCTCGTCAAACATAATCTATCTTAACCAACCATACAACGAATAAAAAGGTTACAGTCACGTAACAATCAATCGTTTAAGATAGGAATATTGAAAAAAAAACGGTTTTGTTTAAAAATCTGTCTGATGAATGAATTTTCGAAGTGTATCAATCAAAGAGGAAGAGGTTTTTGAGCACTTGCCAAAGGAAAAAGAATAATCCATACAGGGGAGTTTTATTAATGATGATCAGTGCCTATCACTGGTAAACTGATTCACCAAGTGTTTGCCTGGTAGGTACTTCTTAAACTGTGTAGTCCTCTTGGGAAATCACTTTTGCATGACAGAAATCCATTATGATCGGCGCACGACTTACGATCTACTGGTACATATTCCTTCACAGTGATGTGTCGGAAGTGAGGGTAAAAACATGGCTTGAAGTCCAACATGGGCGCCAACTACGCTCCCAAACAAGCGAAGAGAAGCGCGACTCCTTTAGGCTTTTAGTGGAGCATTTGTGAAATCGTACTGAGAGGGAGACATGTTATGTGCCCAAGTTAGTGTGTATTATAGAAGTAAGTAGCAGCTACGCAATACGGCTAACTCGTTTTTCGCACCATAGCGGACTTTTTTGTTTCATACAACGATTTTTATTCTTGATTTTACTGCTTCACAGCTGTTTGTACACAGCCTCTCAGTGTTACACAGAACGAAACTCTGTTTTCGCACTGCACTACAACATATAGACAGAGACGTAACTTTTGGAAGGGGGCGTGTATATATATAATGCTCCAACGTACTTTGTTTTTTTTTTATTAAAGCTGTAATTAATATGTTGCCAGCGTAGCTGGGCTGTATTCACAATATAGTCTTAAAACCTACAATGTCTATTTCGTTTATCTCGACCCTCGCAAAATTTTCTAGTAAAGAGCAGGACTTGAGGATTCACGTTTTTCTTGGTTAGTTCCTTCTTTTTACTCATATTTTTTTTTTTTTTTTTTTTTTTTTATGAAGATAAAAGATTTTTACAGCAGTGTCTCAACTGCGCTCCTTTTTAATAAGTTACACCTGTTTTTTTCTTACTTTTGACATGTATTTTCTAACTTAGGAGTTATTTGCTGCTACCTCGAAGCTTGTCTTGAATAATTTTCACGCGAACTATGATGCACTGACTGCTCTTGAGAAGTTATTTTTAAATATATGAAGCAAATTATATTCGGTTGCAAGACATTGGTAGGTATTTTGGAAAATATAAAACGTATTTACGTTATTTGAATCTCAAGGTTTGACTATAGCTACCCATACTATAGTTTGCATATTTAATGCATAAGTACAATGTATATATTCTTCAAAACAATTTACCTTCATGATTTTTTTTTTTCATTCTGATGCACATGAATTTTTTTAAACCACCTACACAAAAAAATTAATTTGTTCATTTGTTAATTATAATAACTTCTGTTGAGGTATATATTTATTGTTTGCCATTTTAACGAGATATTTCCGTGCATTTTTATACATAAATAGACTTAGAAATGACAAAGGTCAAATACAAAAAAAAATTTAAGACCATTTTTGAAGAAAAACTTCGAACTCTTCCGGAACCCGATATCAAAAATAATGGTTTCCATCCAAAAAATCATTTTGACCTTTAAATGACCTTGGAGGTTAAAATCAAAGTCAAATCTTATTGCAGGGATACATTTTCTTTATTATCCTTCACTACTAGTGTCTAAAAAACTTTTACGTATTCGTCTTTTCAATAGAGTTGATCATGCTAAAAATTCAAACAAAAAACAATTTGAAGCCTGAACTGACCTTAATGATCAAAGTCAAAACTTTTTTATATTTGGATTACCAACAAAGTTATGTAGGTGCGTCCATGATGTAAGAATATAAGGTGTGGCGTTGCGCATCCATTTTGATTGACCAATCAGGAACGCTTCCATCGCGCCATCATGTATGTCTACGAATTTCAAAAGCTTTTGAAATATAAAGCATATTAACATCAAGAAACTCGTGAAACAATATATATTTCTTATTTTAATTTTTTAATTCCAGTTGTTTCAGTGACCAAACGTACAATTCGTGAATATTCACACAGATAAAACAGACTAAATAGGTAATCATTCATCAATTGACGTACATGTATATTCATACGTATGTCTATATCTGTATATATATGTCTCACTTCGACATGGATGCGGGAGATAGATTTTAGTTTTAACTTTGGCCATTCCGTTTCATTGTACGGGCTCTTTGGCGCTGTAGTATAGTCACATCTCCCTCAAATATGGCATCGTGATGGAAGACGCAGAACGGGACGAAAATGAGACCTCGGAACGCCACACCTTATATTTTTACATTATGGATGCGTCTATTTAAATGTCATGTCCTGTACACATTCAATTAAATAGCAAATAATAAAATATCAAAAATATTAAAATAGAAATAACAAAGTTGTACAACAAAACTATTTTAATAAAATCAATTAAATGAAGAAGATAGTTCTATGCATATCTCTTTACGATACAGCGACAAGTTATTATGTTTAATTATCAAGTATCATTTTATACAAAAATTAATTCGGTTATGGAGGCTCTAGAGGAAATCTGAGGGCTGTAAGTCAAAACGATAGAGTCATGGAGAGTGTGGAGGGCTAACAAAATGATAAACACAACTTAATAACAAAATGATAAAAACAGTGTAAGATATCACAGGTGGTCTCATTGTCTATATTACCTACAGTAAATTTTTGTGAATATTTTGTGTTATTTCCACTTTCTCGTATCAGGTGTCACATGGGAAAACGAGGACCGAGCAGACTAGCACCTGGAGTCAGTAAACAGTTTGAAAGGGAGAAATAAGAATAATAAATTTAATTGTAAAATTGTATTGAAATTTAGATTGATTGATTTAAATATAAACTAATTAAAATGAGCAAAAAATTTTGTGTAAAAGACTGTAAAAGTAGCTCAACATTATGAAGTGTACCAAAAAATGACGATAGTCTGTATACATCAAGGAGCAAGGTTATATAAGTAGCTTGTGGTGTCATTCTCAAAAGAAATAGTTATATTTGTGGTACAAATTTCACTTGAGAACGACATTCACGACAAAAATATCATTAAAGACGTATCTGGCAAAATTATTTTCCAAGTAAAGTAACCATTTAATCCTTCACGCTTCATAAACTTGTGTATAAAGTTTAATTATTAGTTTATTAAAAATACATTATTACTGCTAAACTTCTGAAATTGTAAATTGCTAATGGCAGAACTGGTAAACATAAAAAACCGTGGAGGACTTATATAATATGTTAATAGCGATTTATATGATTTACTGCATGATACAAAAAAGTATTTTGTTAAACACATACAAAATTATAAAAATAACATTTATGAAGCAACTATTGAAAGCATCGTACGAAATTATAATTTTAAGTTTCCTATTATAAACATAAATCAAAGAACACAAGAAATTCTCAAAATTATTAAAAACTTTTAATAATTTTAGTTTAGTCGTTACTTTTCATAAATTTCGTTTCAATTGTTTTATTGTACAGCGTATTACAATATTTGAAGTAAATAAATTTTTTTTTAAGCAAACGACACACTATTACTGTCGCTAGTATTATACTAGTGTTCGCCAAAACTAGTAGTATAACGATTTACATATATATATACGGTTCTTGTTTCTCATTCTGCCATCTGCTGGATCTTGAATGAAACAGCACAAATATTTCACAAAAATTATGCCTACATGGGACCACCAGTCCTATATCTTACACCGCGAACAAAACACAAAATAGCAATAAAATTAATTAATAAATTAACAAATTTGAACAGTCAATTAATAATAAATAAAAGAATATAAATGATAAAAATTTTAAGATAGTTCGTCGTCTCTTTATTCCATCAAATACTACCTTAATTGGTGCTTGAAAAAAAGTACGGATGCAAAAACAATTAAATTTATCTCCAAATTTACTAAACGTTGAATGACGAATTTTTTCTTTTTAACTCAATGGTGGGATTCGCTAGTAAGTTTGGGGCTGTTGCCTACAGTATAAAAATAACGTGTACTTGACTTAGGTATTGAGATGGTGGTGTGTATTTCTTACGATTAATTTATGAGCTGTGTGTTAAAAAAATTTGTTTTTTATAAAGAATAAGAAAACTAAAACACTACTCATGAATGTTAAGTATATTTTATAATATACCCATCATATATAACACTTAAAATTGAAGGATCAAATAGTATTATAAAACCAACAATAAAAACCCCCTCATAAGTTTTACCAACTTTACGGGTGCAAAACGTTTTGAGAGCATCATAAGCATCGGTGTCATAGCTCACATTCATTGTTGAGTACGTGTCTGCATATAATAAATATGTAACAACGGCATTTCTCAATGTACCGACATACTTAATTATTTTTTAGCTCAAGGTGGACGTACCTTCACGCTACTTTCGTAAGTAGGACAGTTATGTGCATATATCGTAATACAAGCATTGATTTTCTATCAATTATTTCTATTTCAAATGTCATTATTTCGCATCGAGCAATCCTGCAAATATCTTTCGGGGAAAGAATTATATTTCTCGAATATGCTGCAGCTAGAGACAAAATATTATTAAGGGTGGGTATACCATAGCACAAGTCATATCATTAACCTAATAAATTATTTTAGAATATAGACAAATGGAATATGAAAAAAAAGTATTAACAATGTTCTGCACCCATTTTTACACTTTTGCAGGCTACAGACTGGTGGCTGAATGATATGTACCTAACGATCCCACTCGAGCTTCCCATCAACATAAACCCAGGCCTAGTTGCACGACCCCGACGATTTTCCAACCAGCAAGACGCTGCCATCTTCCTTGCGCGTATTCTTACGGAGCTCCTCAATTACCAGGAGGTTCTCGACAGGTAAGACTTAATTAACGCTTCCCCTGCCTCTCGAGCTCCTCCACTTCTATTCTTCTCATTTTCCTTTCTCGTGTTCCTTTCCCCACTTAAATTAATGACGTCAAAACTTTTTGCTTCCAGTAGCACCCTTTACCCCTTCCCCCTCGTTCTCTTTTCTGTTATACAGACAGACAAATTTTATTTTTCCTCGCTATTCTAGAGTTGATTGGAAATCAAAGTCGCTTTGGCACGTGCCTCATAGAACCTTCTCCGCCAACGTTCTTGCCTTTCCTGTACTTTAGCAAATGAGCTTTAGCATCCATAGAATTAAAATAATTTTTTACCTCGCAAAACATCATTTTCGTATTGGCTGCATCAGATGATACAATTTCACTTAGCGTAGGTGAGCTCGGATGACTAATGGGGATACTAGCAAAGTATATTGTAATGGAAAGGGAGCGTCACAATGTGGATCAAGGACGGTAAAAGTGCGTCTCGCGTCTATAGACTGTGCAGTGACAGCGTATAGAAAAATATATAATACATGCAATGGACTTGATCAATATTTACATAAGCTTTAACGTATAATGCAATGTAACGAAGTTCAACATCTTTTCCGTATTGGCCAAAGTCACGCCAGGGATGTATGATTGGAGTTGTGCACACGGTTACAACTATCTCATCAGCCAAACTCATAATCGCGCTTCTTAAAGTTGTTTGCACTTTCGTGCTTAAAGAAAATCATGCATGTTACATACTTTTTTATCAGTGTTGTTAGTATACACTTTCCTTTGATTAGATAAAGGCCTGGCAAGTATTTGCTTCTTGAAAGCTCCATATAGAATCGTATAAGATGAATCCGTGAAACCTTTTATTTGGTAGAAAAAGCAAACTTTTTTTTAAAGAGCCCTATTAATTGTTTTTTATGTATGTATTTGTATGCATGGTCGTATTATAAGTCCCTTTGAGTATTTTACTTCAAACTGGTGGCATCATCAAAATCCAAATTAGAGAGTTAACAGAAGTTTATGGAGTATTCTGTAAAGAATACTGTGATTAACAGTATACACTACTCCTAGCTAGATAGAATCTTCTATACAGTATGGCTCAACATGATGAAAAAATATGGTTATTGGTTATTGGGTTATTGGTAATCTATTGACTCTAAAATGTAAAGATTTGTTGTTCCACACGTAAATATTAACATCATACGTGTACACGACAATAATGTCATCGCTGAAGGTTGTTAAGTAGTTTTCTTCTGGTTAATTAGGCACGATAGCATAAAAAGAAAATGTTATCTAACAAATGCTCTACAAGTATTGGAATAGGGGGTAGTTGTGTGCGTACACATATCGTGCATATAAAATAATGACTTCCAACAACGAACGCTTCACTTTACAAGTCACTCGCCGGATATTCGCAGATGCTTTGAGCCGCTCTTGAGCAGCCCAAGGTACCCAACAGTGGCAACGGTGGGAGTGTACAGGCCTGTCGTTTTGCTGGCTTTATGCTCCTGACTTCTATGGATTTCCACGAGACGGATTTCCTTTAGAGACGTTAAAGAGGGCGAAAGAGAAAGAGAGGACGGCTAAGGAGCGTCAAATTGAGCCGAGCACTTGTGCGGTTTCTTTTTATCCGGTACCTGGCAGACCAAATAAAGGGAAAGAAAAAAAATCAATACATTCGTGTAGTAGATGGACGCGGTTTACGCTCAATAGAACTATAGAGCAAATTACAGTATAAGTTAATATACTTAACGAGCTCCCATGTAGCCCTCGTAGTACAAGAATAAAATACGAGGTTATAGATTGACGTTGTCGTTTTCTCTTTCTCCCTTTCTCTTTCTTCCAGTTGAAGATCCTCATTAATAATAGATCGTTAAAAGCATGAAAACACTAGATTACAACTAGCATTTAAACAAGCCTCTCACCCCTATAATACTTATATGAGCTATTTCATAAAGAAATCATCCGTGAAGGTAAAAGATTCAGTATTTTAATGACTACTACACTGAGACTATTAGTAGACCGGCACGTATTAAATCTTATCATTTATCATTAGCTGATCATTAATTAAATAATATTATTGTCAAATTAATTCCTAAAATCATAAAAACAGTTAAATTGGTTGGGTGAGTAGAAACTTAAATAGTATAGTTGAATTGGTTCCTGAGTAATTCAGAAGTATAGTCAAATTGCTTTTTAATACTCAGAGTTGTACAAACCATTAAAAGAAAAATACTAAATTCTAACGTTTAAAGAAAACAAGCGAACATTGATCATCTAATCATATGCCCAAACGTACAAACAAATAAACTATTTTTGCTAGCCAATAAGAGTAATGAGCACATTTGATTTTATCGTCTACTATCACAAATCTACTACTGCAGTCTTTTGTTGACACTGTAATTTCGAACTGGACCTCTCATAGCTGTCTTAACTTTTTTCGACGGGTAATAACCCGTCTAGTACATGACTAGTACATGACTAGTGTGACAATATTTGCACTCTACGTGCTATCTTTTTATTTTTTGAAAAATTAGTGCGATCTTATAAGATTGATACTTTAGACGTTACAATCAGAATTAATAAAATTAACTCTCTTTTTATAAGTAGACTTCTATAAAGATTTCAAACAAATTATTTATACTGCAATTAAAAAGTGTTGTCCACAACATGTATAGAGAATTCAGATTCTGATTTGGTTGGAGTTGGTGGTCTAAAATACAAGGACGTTGGTTACAGAAGACGTAATGGTGACTATGCCTAACAAATTTTTAATACATAGTCAATAAAACATAATAAGAAATTTGTGAGTAAGAATATGCCATTGTTATAAACAGCATGTATATTTTGCTTTTAATTCGTCTTTAAAAATTATTTGCCAGTTTACACTTTTAACACGCTAGTTAAAACGACTGTCAGTTCAAAGCCTGAATGAAGTATGACGGAAAAAATATTCTCCTACTTTTCGAGTAACAAACTCGAGTGTAGCAGCACATTTACGGAGTGTGGTAGACATCAAACTTAAAGTTAACATGCATTTCATTTCCTAATTGGGTACAGTTGTTTAGAAATCTGTTTGACTAAATCATCTTAATGACCCAGAAACCCATGCGACCATATTTTCTAATGACTCGACTACCAATTGGAATACGTCCATATCTCTAAGAATGCTGTGGTAACCAGTTTCATAACTCCACTTTTTTTTACCAAAACCAATCAATTGATACATTAATTTTCAAAGGGATAAATTAATAGATTTTCAGTGAGCAACATGTTAGAAATAATAAATTTTTAATTCCTTGATATTAGTTCCTTAAACAGTGCAAGCAATATTTGTTTACAAAATATGTTAGAATTACTTGACACAAGTAGAAGCATACAAGAATGCCAAGTTAAAAAAAACTCGCTCAAAAAGAAGACAGTAGAGATCCTCCCTGGAGTCCTGTTTTCGGCTCAGCTTTGTCACTTGTCGTGTGTGAAAAGCATTTCTCGCTCATAGTTGATTTACTCTGAATATTGTGATTCTCAGATTATTATTTATAAAGCATAGTCAATAACCTTGATGAAGCATGAGTGCACGTAAAATCTTTTGCCGTAAAATGAGATTTAAAAAACTATCATAAACAAATTATGTTCTCACGTAAATTAGTGGGTGGTATATTGTACACAGATTCAACTTTTTTTATAATAAATCGGAAATTTTTTCACACAAATCCTTTGACTCTTTATTAATTTTGATTCTTTTATTCAAATCATTTGAACAGCAGATAGTATGTTATGATCCACGCAAAGGACAAAAACTTTATATAGTTTCATTTATGATCTCGCGTCTTTTATCAGATCGTTCAGTATACCTACCACTCATAAAAATAATATTTTAGTTTTTCAAGATTAAATATTAGGGCCAAAAAAAGTCAAACAAAATAAGCATTACTTAGACCCAATGAGACTAGTATCCGAGTAGTTTTGTCGCACATTGCAAAAAACTTCAGTGATATCCCGCGATTTTATAAATTTTTTATCGATCGGTATCTCTAAAATGCCACATCCATCTCTTTTGTCTTACACAATTAACACCCTCCGGAGAAAAAAAGCTTTTCTTGTTCAAAAAATACTTAAAATATCCTGAAATTTTTTTCTTCGTCAGAAATGAGCTTGAAGTTGAACAAGTCAAGTCTAAAGATGGAAAGAGTATGCAATCCCTCTGTATGGCCCAGCATTATCAAGTGTTTCGACTTTACCGGAGACCCGGACTTACTGCCGATGAACACGTTCATCTTGACAGAGCCAATACTGGTGATCACATCATTGTTGCAAGTCATAATCAGGTAAGCTAACTAAATAGTTACATGGAACTTTTTACCCCCTACATTTTAACATTGGCTGTTTTTGAAATCCATTCACGAATTTACTTTGAATTCTTACGATACTCGGTACATTTTTTTTGTAAAGAGTAAATTTATGATTCACTTCAACAGTTATACTGATAAAAGCTCTACACCTCAGAGAGTATTAATTTCAATTAATTTATGAAAAAGCTTGCAGAACCGACAGTACATTTAAAAAAGTTAATTATATTCTCAGTAACTGTCAACATTTCCTAATATTATATAATTATAAAAAAAAAAAAGTAAAGAAATCTAAAAAACTCAAGTATGTGATATAAATTTTCAGTTGTTTAAAATAGTAAGTTTGATTCTAGTACAGTAAAGAAGGTAAGAAAAGTTTAAGGATTACTAGTAAGAGTAAAAGATTAATATTAATGCAACTGTCAGCGCATTTTCGATTACGCAAGAACAATTTTGATCAACTAAAGTTTTTGTTGCATTGATATTCGTATGCTTACTTAATTTTTAATTACAGAATTAATGAAAGTAATGAAATATACAATAAATACAAGCAATTTCACTAAAAATTGTATGTTATAAGATTAAAAAATTAATTTTCTCCAAAGTGCAATTGCCGCTTTGCGCCCTCGGGTCACACTTTGCGCCCTTGGAATCACTTTGGGCCCACGGGCAGAAAAGTTTTTTGCGCTCTACAGGCCCAAAGTACTTTTTTTACCCTAGGTCCCAAAGTGATTTACTGGACGTAAAGTGTGCCCACGGGTACAAAATTGCACTTTGCACCCTCGGTAAGAAATAGTAGTTTTCCTACGAGTTTGAAAAGTCTCTGTTTGCGAACCGAGAGGTTTGCGGCCCGAGCCGAAGGCGAGGGACGTAACGAGGTTCGTAAAGGAGACTTTTCGAACGAGTTCCGGAAAACTGCTTTTTCGCCCGAGGAAGTACCAGCCTCCCAAAACCACCCGAGTGCGGAAAAATATTATACGTGACTCGGGCACCAACACACAATCGCGCCCTTCGGGCGCTCTTGTTTGTACTTTGTGCACTAGTGACGTAATGTACCATTACACTAGTATTAGATACATTTTTTGCGTTCGTTAATTTTATTTATTAAATCATATGGACCGTATGCAATTTAGTAACCTAAAAAACTCGAAGAAATAACACTTTCTACCCTTGGTTATATATTTTTCAAATTTATTAACTTAAATACAATGTTGCTTATTTACTTGTATGGTATATAATATTATAATATTTTTTTATCATTTTTTTAACTCATTCCATTATTTATTTCTGTAATTCAGTTTAATTATTACAATTACATTTTTTTCTTTGATTATAAATTAGAACAACAATGCCTAGTACGTCAAATAGTAGTATTTCCTATAAATTTTTCAACTTAAATATTTTGAATTATTTTTTACTGATGTCGTTTCTGATACATAATTTCAGATGTCCGATATCTTCTTAAGTTTTATTAGTAGGTCATGTATGTAAAAGGAAAAATTTTAAAGTGCGTCAGTAGAAATTGGTCCATATTTTTATGAGTCACATAAATAATTGATACTGTAATGAACTTTAACATTACTATTTATATTTTTTATAATTTTTTTGATTTAATATATATAAACATCTACTATATGTTAAATAAAAATTATTTATAGAATTATCATGATGTCTCTGAACTATACAACAAACATTTTAAGTACGTTAGGTAACTGGTATTTGAAACTTATTGATCTCAGCTTCAACAATTTTTAATAACATTTACAAAAAATGTAATCCACACAACGTTGATGTTTGCCAATTTCAATGTTGTAAGTATTTCCTTGACGTTCAAATATTTTTGTCATAGCAAAAAGTGTAGGTACCTTTAAAACTAATTGTTTTTGTGTAAAAAAAGTTTTGGTACAAAAAAAATTGTGATCACGGACCTCAGCGTCAGGAGTGTACGTTTTTTGATTAACTCATGCAGTTTTTGTCGGATTGGGCTGAAATTTGACAAATAGCTTCGTCTTTTATGTTGTACGAGATGGTTTAAAATCCGTAAGGTTTCCTCTTCTAGAAAAAAAAATGGCAGTCGTTTTAAGATGGTACTTTCAATAAAAAAAATAGTTTTTTGGCTTTAACTTTATAACGTGATATTTTCGAGATTTGCTGTGAAAGACAAAGTTGTAGATATAAGGTAAAAGTACCAGTACATGAACACTTTTTCCATAAAGTCTTTGTTTTCTCATTTTTATCGAACTTCTGAATTGCATAACAACAAAACAGTCATTGCGCCAGTAAGTTTATATTTTTTTCTATCAAAAAAAGTTTTTCTAGGTTGCATGTACAATTAATAACTTAACTTTGAAGTTTCTTCATCAATGACCTAGTAGATGAACAGCGTGTTCAGGTATTGGTACCGATACGTATTTTTGACCGAGTAATTGAACATCCCATGTTAATTAAATGGGAGAGAGGTTATGTTAGCTGCCTTCTACTGATTTCTATTTTTATTATGTATTGCAAATAACCAAATCGAAAAATTTCTATCTAATTTCATTGGTAACATATTATGAAAACTATAACGACTGGCTTGACATACTATTATTATTGATTAACAGTGATTTCAATCGTTTTTATGTGTTCGAGTACTGGGCATAGGTAAAACCTAATGGTACCAGTACCTGATCAGTCTCACAAGCCACCTCATATAAGTTGCACGAATAAATAATTTTTTTCTCGTTGAGTATAAAGACTTACTGAAATATAAATTTTTTTTTATCCAAAGAACGATCAAAGGATATCAGAAACATTTTTTTTTTTTTTCCACTTAAATTGAAATAGTTTATTTAAGCTGTTCAATCTACTGGTGCAATTTTAGAAAGTGTTCACGTACTGGTACTTTTACCTTACTTGAAATACAACTTTTTTGTATTTAAAATTTTCGTCCAGGATGTAACTCAAATGTTCTGTGAATCAAAAAGTGCTCAAAAATCGCAAAAACGTAGTTTTTCCCTACCTAACATATTTGTTTTGTACTTTGAATTATGATATTAAACGTAAAAGTTGTAGATCTTGTTGAAATACAACTTTTCGTGTAAAACATTTTTACCTAGGATGTAACGCACATGTTCTATGAGCCGAAAAGTGCTTGTAAAATGAGTACAAGTCGTTTTTCCTTATCCAACTTTTTTGTTTTGCACTTGAGATATTAAATTAAACGTGATAGTTGAAGGTCTCATCGAAATATAACTTTTTTGTATTTAACATATTTAGTTATAGTATTAAATTTGGGCTCTGAATCGCAAAAATGCCGAAAAATTGTAAATTTATCGTTTTCCCCTATTTAACTTACTCGTTTTTTTTATTTACATTTCAGATTATAAAGTTAACGTAAGACTCATAGATCTTGAAAAACAGTTACTTTTTTTAAACTTAAATTAATGTCTGCAAGATAAAATTAACGCCATAAATCGTAAAAAATGATATAATACTAGCTTATTCAGAATATATACGATTGACACTCAATGCAAAGTTAAGGGCGATAATCATTGTGTTCTAAGGCTTTCTTTTTTTCATCCCGTGGGAATGTGTACATTTTTTTACCATCTCTACACCGAACAGAACCAACATGGTAATAACAGTAATATATTCCCTCGTATCAGTCGTGCCTTAAATGCAAAAACGCAATTTTTGCATAAATTTAGCCACTTGTTTCTTATATGACAGTTGATCCGTAACTGTTTATTCACAACTTATAAAATGAACTTTTTCCCAAATATTTTATCACAATTACATCAATTTTTTTCTTAATTATTATTTACTATTTCTAACACTTTTTTTGGAATCGTTTAAGCTTTATTTCAAACGATCACACTTTTTTTGGACGTCTTTCAATCAAACCCTTTATCGAGATGTTTGTTTCTAACACAATTTAAATCTACAAAAAGTCTAAAAGTTTCGTAACTGGTCATATCATTAGGTAATAAAATTAATGATATACCTGTCTATGCTACTGATAAAACTTTTTTTAGTTTAAGAAACAAAATAATGAATTCATAATGTGTATAGAAATTGTTTACAAGAATCTTCTGGACTGGAAAGTTTTAAAGTATTGTAGCAAATTATTTCGAAACTTAACATTTGACCTCTATTCACACGACAAAATATGGACTAAGAATTTTTCTTACCTAAATGAATATTTTTTCGATCATGTCATTTTTTTTGGATCTTCTTTTACAATATGTTCTGATTTCGAATATTTAATGTTCAAGTTTTTGAGCAAAGTGAACAGATCTTGAAGCCCCACTAGTATACATTTGTGTATAACAGTCTAATGCTACAAAAAAATATGGCACGGATTTTAACATTTTACGACAAATGGATAATACGACGCAATACATGATTTTTCCAGTTTTACAGCGTACCCGTAAGAGCACCAGACCGAGGCCGCATAACAGAATCTGAACTAGCTCAGCAGATTTTGAAAATCATGGAAGTGCCAGCTGATGCCAAAACACTGCCCGTTGGAATTCTGACAAGCGCAAAAAGACCAGTCTGGGCGAAAGCAAGGGAGGAACTTTTAAAAAGTATATAACACCGGCACACGTGACAATTACCGTTGGCAATGAAATTGACCGCTGTTTTAATTCCCAGACGAGCGTAACCAGCGCAATCTTGAGCTACTCGAGCAGTGTCTGTGTATCGTCAGCATCGACGACGATGTGCTTCCAACAACGTTCAACAATCCGGTGAACAGAGAGGACCTCTGGATCGATGGGCGTGACTACGCGAATGTTCTGCACCATGCACTTCATGGCGGTGGCTCGCGCTTTTTCGGCGCCAACCGATGGTTTGACAAGACCGTCCATCTCATCCTTGGCAAGGTTGGTGTACTTTTCCATTTTAACTGCACGGAAAGACCTTTTTCATTTAAAATCCCCTACTTCAATATTTGATCACAAGAAGTACCAGACCAACGTTATATTTATTGCTTACTTACACAGAAATTTTTAGTCTCACCTTTAGTGATCTTAAATTATCTACTGAGTATACTGATTTTAGAACATCAGTACGACTATTTATTGGTGGTGGTACGGTTTTTTCCCTTACCATCAGTAGCCGTGAAAAGTAGATGCACCCAGTCAGTGTATACGACGTACCATAGTGCGCAGAGCAGTACTTATTATATATTTTTAAATGCATACATACATGCGCGCGTGCGCACACACACACACACACGCGCGTGCGCGCGAGCGCATACGTGTGTGTGTATAGTAAGCCTCTTAAAATCTGACACTGATATATATACTTGGAGAGTAAATATACAGTATACCTAACAGTACAATAACATAACCTAATACTAACGTATTTGAGTGTAGGTTTTAAGTAGACCTGGTACGAGAAAAATCCTTACCAAGCTATGACAAACACATAACTTCATGTGGTAGAGGATTTTTAGTGAGACAATAGAAAGAAAATACCGTACCTAGTATTAATATAATCTTATTTGCCAGTAGAAGAAGACTTCACATGTCCAACATTTTCGAGCGTAGGTTTTAGACGGACCTGGTACGGGAAAAAATCTTACCAAGCTATTAAAAACTCGTAACTGAATGTAGTAGGGGATTTTCAATGAAAAAGGTCTTTCCGTGTGATTCGTGCTTGACATCAAAGATATTGTGCAATTTGAAAAGCACAATTGATTATCGGTATAACTTTCCTGGAACACATCTACTATGTACACTAACTGATGACCAATACGTAACTGATGACTAAAACTCGAGCAAAAACTATTACATTTCCTTATCGCCCTATGCGTGGTTTTATTCACACCTAAGAGAGAATACAGTATTTTATATTTTCGGCCAGTAACGTGCTATTTCAAAACTTGGCGAGTGTTTCTCTCGTATAATATACGTCACGAGTGTGACATTGCGTAGTTCACCATACGCTTATGCATTACATTATATTTCTTAAAGAGGATAAATTTTTCGTCACAAAAGATCGTTTGGGTAATTTCTCATACATCATTACACGTACAACGAGACCTCCTGCATCCTTTCGCGCTGTAATTGCCAAAGCACAACCGATCGCCTACCTTTCTAAACGCAACTCCCAAGGAGGGTTGCGAGGGCAGCAGAGAGGAGGGGGTCAGAAAGATGAGCTGCTTACCGAGTTACCACAAACATCAATCTTCGTGGATTCGCTTTACCTTGCCAGCCTACACGCCAGCTCATTTCAATGCTTACCGACGAATTTTCAATTCGATTCGACCGACATCGAAGAGCTGCCAAACGCACCCAAGGCCAGCCGATCGGGTTTTAACTTCTCATGCCTCTTGACATTTACGTATACGTCCAACATTAACCAACTTGCGCTTGCAAAAGACGTGCGATTTTATTAACGAGACACCCGTTGATAAGCCCGGATGCACATCACTCTCTCTCACTTGAATTGCAACAAGAAAAAGAGTGATGACTCTCGTATGGCGTGTGATCTTCTTGCAAGATGCCGCATACATTACAGTAATGCGATCGTAATTGTTCGAGTATGTGGTGTAGAGTCGTGCGTACGTGTTGTACAACAGAGATTGGATTAGCTTCTTGTGCTGTTTGGGACTTGGGATTCAGATTGTGAAATTCAAGCGTTGTTCCTAACACGCCAGCCAGACGGCTGATTTGCTTATGGAATCTCGTTCCTAATTGATAAATTAGCCTTACGATCGCGCATGGGGTCTTTCCTAACTAGAACGGGGACTTAGAACTCTTTAGATTTTTCTATTTAGATATCAATTAAACTAAAAGATTTATGAGTTGTTCTAAAGTCTTTCATTTGTCATTAGTGATAAACGTAACAGTAAATGTATTTTTATAATTTTTCTACGTAATTAATATTGTTAAACTCAATTATGAACTTCTTAACAAAAACAGAATTTATTTTTCCTCTTTGAAATTTTTAATTTTCAACATATCATGATCAGAGTTGATTGAATTTTAACGTGCGTACGTAGATATTGGTTGTGCAAGTTCATAATATTACAATAATAAATATTATGTTCATCATGTAACTTGAAACATAATCATAAATATAGATGTTTACTCTTGTATGAAGACCTAGCAAATCTTATCTCATCTTATCTTACTAATATACAAAGAAAAGTCGCTAAAACCGTTGTAATCGCTAACCGCGAAAACTACTGAACCGATTTTGCTGAAATTTTGCATACTGATTCTTGATGATTTCGAGATGGTTTTCGCATAGTTTTTTTCTTGAAAAAGTTAATAACAATAGCGATAAATAAGCTCAAAGTTTTTCTAAAATAATCTAGCTTTGCGCTTTTGTTTAGTAGAATCAGCTAGGTGGCGTCAAGGTAACATTGAAGCCACCCTCAATCAAACATAATAAAGAGTGGGTATAAGATGCCCCACCGAGTGGACAGCAACTCTCTACACCAAGAACAGAGGACTCCGTCGTGCAGCTGGGCACCCCGGCTACCGATGACACTATTCTTTCATGCACAAGCGAAATAAATCGGTTTTTACCCAGGATCCCCAAAATAAACGAGTGCCACGGAAGAACAGGTGTTCGGAACGTCAACGTCTCCGGTAGAATCATAGAGATAATATAATAGAGGAAGCGAACTGTATATTCCTATGTAAGTGGTAGCGTACGGCTGGTAGACAAAGAAAGAAGACTGTTTTGGTCTTTCATCTCTCTTTGCTCTCTGCACTGATTGGCTGTTGCTTAACCATGTCTATAGTAATAATTAGAACGAAGTTCTTTATGTCGCGTGCTTGGGGGACTGGAGTTTTTAAAACGACAGATTTCCATAAAACGGAAGTCGCTTACTAGAAGTCTCTGCCACCTACAAAAAAATTTTTTTTCTAAATAATAAATTAAAAAAAACAAAAAATTTAATTAGCATGAATGTGGTTATGTAGATTAAATCGAATGAGGCGCGTTATTACGCATTAAATATTAGTATTTTATGCATTTGATGCATAAAATACCAACCGATTTTTTAAAAACCTGAGGTTTTTTTGGCATTAAAATAATGCTAATAATTACTGTTATGAATGAATTATTTAAATCAACATACACAATAGAGTTGCAGAACGTATCCATGGTTTTTAAGGGCGCTTATTTCGAATTCGACAAAAAAATTATGTTACAATGTCA